TGTTTTGCATTGTATTCTTACAGCGCCCGCTGGTTGTCAAAATACCCAAATAGAGCTTGCAGCTGATTGGCTGTGAACTCCATTCGGCCAAGAATTATCCAACTTTCTGCGTCAATCAGCTGATCAAGGGATGCCAGCTGGAAAGGTGGCACCCACTGTGCGCATTTTCATCAATAACTGACAAAATTTGCACCGTTTGTAGCCTCCTTAATTGATTTACCTGCAAAAGGGTTGTAATTCTGTTCAGCCAATATTGTAATGCAAATAACCCAGCCAATCAATGCAATTTTGGGTCTGAACTGCCCTGCAGGCTACCTTGCAGCTTAGCTGGGTCCAGGGATCACTCCAGGCTGCTGATGAGATTTTTTTGGACTGTTCATGCGTAGCTTTCCTTTGTAGGGATTTTATTTATGATGATCTCAGAGCAGCCTTCCTCAACCAGGCACCCTGGGGTGCCTTCTGCCTACCTCAGGTGTGCCTTCAAATTTTTGCATAGTGTCATGCCTTTTCATGGTGCAGAAAGGCTTCTGATGTGCATAGGGCTCCTGATGTAAAGGGGGAACTCTGATGTGAAAGGGGGGCCTCTGATGTGAAGAGGGGGCCTCTGATGTGAAGAGGGGGCCTCTTATGTGAAGAGGGGGCCTCTGAAGCGAAGAGAGGGCCTCTGATGTGTAGAGGGGGCCTCTGATGTGTAGAGGGGGCCTCTGATGTGAAGTGGGGGCTTGTAAAGTGAAGGGGGACTCTAATGTGAAAGAGGGGGACTCTGATGTGAAGAGGGGGGCTTGTAATGTGAAGGACTCTGATGTGAAGAGGGGGACTTGTAATGTGAGGGGCGGACTCTAATGTGAAAGAGGGGGACTCTGATGTGAAGAGGGGGGCTTGTAATGTGAAGGACTCTGATGTGAAGAGGGGGACTTGTAATGTGAAGGGCGGACTCTAGTGTTAAAGAGGAGGACCCTGATGAGAAGAGGGGGGCTTGTAATGTGAAGGACTCTGATGTGAAGAGGGGGACTTGTAATGTGAAGGGGGGACTCTGATGTGAAAGAGGGGGACTCTGATGTAAAAGGGGGGGCTTTTCATGTAAAGGGGGGACTCCTGATGTAAAAGGTAAGATTCTGATGTAAAAGGAGGACTCTGATGTAAAGGGGGCTCCTAATTAAAAGGCAACCCCATTTTTAGTGTGTTTTTGATTTGTGTACCTTCTCAAAATTCATACCAGATCCCTATCTGGGATAAGGATCTGTTATGGATTTTGGATATGGCACATGTTGTTTTTTACATTTTACACTCGGTTGCCCTTAAGATTTTGAAAACTTTAAAGGGTGCCAAGATTTAAAACATGTTAAGAAACTCTGTCTTAGAGCACCAGACACCACACTGAAGTCCTCGGTTTGAAGATTTGGTTAGATAGATAAATAAGACAATGACCCTTGTCCAATTTACTCAACAAAAGAACCCACCCCTTTCTTACTCAGAGATATTCAAATAACAGAATCATCGGAGAAATCCCATTCCCCAAGAAATCGATTCCCTTATAAAGTTCTCCAAACCACTGCTTTATTATTCCAGTTCTAGATAACGATAACTAGCAGTGACTTCAAGCAAAACAAATGTATCAGTCAGACAGTTTATCAACTTCTCCAAAGCTGTCTGAGGATCCGTAGGGTAACTTTATGCACACCTGGAATGCATTTGTTAAAGCAATTGTGTTGTGTTTGTCCTTTGTGCGGAAGAGCCCTATGGATTTCCTTGCATGAACATTTCAAAACTGCTTCTCAACTTTGCATGCGCGCAGGGCTATTAAATATGTAGGCCGATCCCGGCGGCTTAAATGGGCAGGTAATATTTAAACCCTGCAGAAACCGCAAGGCTTTTTTATTGCTTTTAAAATATAATTGTGACCTGCACTCTCAGCAGAGGTCAATGTAAATCAAAGAGGATAAAGGAAAGCTGTCCACAAAACTCAGATCAAATGTCCCACATCACACAAGAGGCAGCAGGACCTTTCTCTCCCCCTCCCCCAGGTAAAGCAACAAATGGCAGAGAGGCTGAAAGCCATGGGACCCTGGAGCTGAGCAACAGGAAGTGCACAATCTAAGCATCTGTCACCTCCTGGGGAGAGCTAAATGGATTAGAGCCTGACCAGGAGAAGAAAAGTCCTTTCAAAACATGCATTTGATTAACATGTCCACTCCAATATACAACATCACTTCTACTCCCCTGAGCTATGATCACAAATCCCCATGCACTTTTCAAATGTTTGAATTCCCAGGTCAGTGGGGTGGAAGGGGGGGGGGGGTGCCAAATAACAATCAAATAGACGAAATTGCTCAATGGATGGACATCAGTTTGACCCATCAGGGAACAAAATGGTTAAACAGAGGCTGGCCTGTATATGTGGTCTTACACAACAATATATGCCTATAGAGATCAGTAGGGGGTCTATTAGGTTTGCATAGCACTGGTCCACACTGGCCAGAACTACAATTCAATGGTGGGGAATGTAAGGGACAGATAGGACATTGCTGATAAGATTAGCACTATCTTCAATAGTCCCTTACGCGTGTTGGATGTCTCTAGGGTTATCTGGAACAATATACTAATGACCTTTCTGCAATCTCTTAAATGACCATGTCACTATATCACAAAGCATTACATATTAGGAGACAATACATTATATTCACCTCTAGAGAAGCAACAGATATCAAAAACCAAAGACAATGGCTATCACTCCGCAATGCAAACGGATGATCAGTTTCACTACAGCCAATCTAGTGCTGATCTAACGATCAATCACTCAAGAGTTCAGGTAACATTCAACTCTTAAGGTGCCCATACACCTTCCGATTATGGTACGAAACTTTTCGTCTGCTGATGGAACCGTTGTGCGATTGTCGTACGGCGGCCCCATCCTGCCCCGATTTATCGCAAGCTTCAATCAGCGGTAGTTAAAAAAAAACACCTGGACGAATAGCGTTAATCGACCACACGTATTTTCGTTTGCGCACGAGCAGTGTTAATCGTACGACTTTTGACGTACGGAAACGCCACCAACCTTGCGAAAATCGTACGATCGACTGAAGTTTCGGAACATGCAGGAAAGACAAAAGTCGTACGATTGTACAGTACTGGCGGTTGCACACTACCCATACACCTTACGATTGTCATACGAAAAGTCGATCGCATACGATTATCGTACGATAATCGTAAGGTGTATGGCCACCTTTAGGCCTAAATTTGAAAATGAAAGAGAGAAGCTGATTGGTTGCCATGCACAGCTGCTCCAGATTGTGTCTGCTCCAGTATTGATAAATTCCCTTCTGTGTGTTTTTTGTTGCTCTCTTTTTATGTTGGAGAGATTTCTCATCACTTCCTGTTCCCCCACCCATCACCGGGATAGGAAGTGAGCGGAAATCTCATTAGTGAGACCCAGGCAGCAGTTAAAACCATAGAGAGGTTCTAACCATCACCTCTACGAAAAAAAAAGATGGGCTTAAAAACAATACTTATGGTAATATTTCTGTTACCGGTAAGCCAGTGTCAGCCAATGTGACCAGCACACCTCTTAGGGCCCATATACACGAGTGGATGTTGGATATGCTCCATATAGCCACTGGTGTGCATTGTGTAGTGGTAGTGCGATACGTTGTTGCAACGCCTACCACTGTGTACCTTTTTTAACGAAGCATGACCTACTTTTTTTTTTAAAGAGCACCTCTACGCAGTGTATTGGTGTGAACTGAACTAATAGGACCTAAGGCAAGTTGTCTAGTCTACAACCCTGCCCAATGCATATGGTCTATATGGGTACAGGAAAAGCAATCAGGGCACTTATTGAAGTTCCCAGCTCAAACCAACCATCACATTACCCTTCCCACCCCTGGTCTACACACAGAGCTGCTCAGGACTCCTCCAGCAATCCAGCTCTATGAGGATCTATAAGCACAACCCAGATGTTACTCCTTGATCAGATTAAAAAATAGTTTTCCTACTGGAGCAAGAGGTACCAAAAGGGGAGAGTGTAACAAAGTGCAGGCATCCTGTTTCCCAACAGAAGCTTTTACTATATGGGAAAAGAGTGTGTCCATTATAGACATGTAGAGGGGCAGCCCAAGTGTGTGCAGTAGATGGAGGTCTGATCCATGCCAATCCCCCTTCCCCCATCCCTCCAATACAGGGGCTCCCTATAACACACATCTACCCTCACTAACTATATGGAGGGACATCCCAAGTGTGTGCAGTAGATGGAGGTCTGATCCATGCCAATCCCCCTTCCCCCACCCTTCCAATACAGGGCTACCTATAACACACATTTACCCTCACTCACTATATAAAAAAGCTCATGTCCATTATTGACCTCTATAAAGATATCCCAAGTGTGTGCAGTTGATCTGATCAGTGCCAACCATTCCCTCGGAGTACTTATAACAGTCGATCTACCCTAATTCACTATATAGAAGATCGTGTCCAGTATAGACCTGTGCAGTAGATAGACCTGTGCAGTAGATCGCAGGTCTGATCCGTGCCAGCCATTACCCCAATACCTATAACAGACGATCTACCATAACTCATATATAGGATCGTGTCCATTATAGACCTGTATAGTGGCATCCGAGGTGTGCACAGTAGATTGCAGGTCTGATCAGTGCCAGCCATCCCCCCAGTACCTATAACAGACGATCTACCCTAACTCATATAGGATCGTCTCCATTATAGACCTTTTATAGGGGCATCCGAGGTGTGTGCAGCACATCCCAGGTCTGATTAGTGCAAGACATTCCCCCAGTACCTAAAACAGACGATCTACCCTTTTTATATAGGATCGTGTCCATATTAGACCTGTATAGAGACATCCGAGGTGTGTGCATCGCAGGTCTGATCAGCACCAACCATTCCCCCAGCACCTATAACAGACGATCTACCCTAACTCATATATAGGATCGTGTCCATAATAATTATTAGAAAAAGCTTTCCCTACACACGCGTGCTGCTCTTCTTACCTGCAGCCCGAAGTGCCAGCAGTACCAGCAGGACACATGGCAGCCCCCCAGCCTGCCTCCAGGACATCCCGCCGTCAGATCGCATACTATGGCCAGCCGTAGATTGCTCACAGCATCCAAACGTCCTCACACAGTCCAGCGACTCCTTGCAAGTGATGTGGGCAGAATGTGGCGAAGAGAAGGGGCTGCCTGGCAGCCCCCGAGCCGCCCGCTGCTTCTCCTCCACCTCCTGTACAAAGAAGTCTTTGTCAGCCTGTTGGTCGCCTCACCTACTAGTATTCCCTCTACCTTTCCAGCTGTGCCTTATATCTACACTGTGCCACTGCACAACTTCTACAATGTTACAACGTCTACTCCAGTCTTTGGGTGTCCCAATATTAGCATCCTCGTCAGGTCCACATGAACAGAATAGGATGAGAAGGAAAAGTTAGAGCAGTCCTTCCTCAGAGAGTGGCAGACCTGCCCCTTGTGTGTCCCGCACAGGGAGAGGGGAGGTAGAGGGGCAGGCTCTTCTCCTTGTTCTCCCTGCACCCCCTGCCAACTGCACACTGACGTCACGCCAGGCCATGGAACCGCTGTCAAGCGTAGGATGCCATGGTGCCGCTGTGAGCGCCATCTGCTGGCCGCGCTGTTCTCTCAGGAAACGCCTCACCTCTGGTGGCACTGCAAGGTTCAGCATGCTCTCACATTCTAGTGGAGTGTCCCTCACTGCTAGTGACAGGCCCACCCTGGCAATGTGTTTTTCCCTGGAAATGTTTGTCTCTGGAAAATTCCTCAGGGTTGGCTTTACTATCAAATAGATTTTTCTGCATGTCAGAGATTTATAACTTATTAAAGGTCATTTCACTGACGAGCATAAGAAGTAAAAAGGAATTTATATTCCAGATGAAAGTGGCACTGTCACTAGATTAATAATAAGTTTAAAAAGTGCTGTGTGCAAAGGAAAGAAAGTGTATGCAAAACCCTAACAATGGAAATAACTAAAGCTGAACTCCATCTACAGAAATGTATGTATCCTTACACTGGTCCAGCTTGGCACACTGAGGGGAATTTATCAATAGTGGAGCAGGCAAAAACTGGAGCAACTGTGCATGGCGACCAATCAGCTTCTCTCTTCAGTTTGTTCAGTTAAGATTTGAAAATGAAATAGAGAAGCTGATTGGTTGCCATGCACAGCTGCTCCAGATTTTGTCTGCTCCAGTATTGATAAATTCCACTGACAGTAATTATATAGAAATATTTATACCTGGACTGCAGCTTTAAGGGGCCAGTCACACCATATCCAGTGCGTTCCGGTGCGGTTCAAGCCCAGAACGTACTGGATCGCATAGATCGAGCCGAGCAAGGTTCTGGGGCTGGAGGGGACGTGTCAATGGCACCGCAGACACGCCCCCCGCCCGCTGTGCATTCACCCGCACTGGAATGCGAGGTACAGGAATGTCCTCCATTCCAGTCCAGTGCGATTGGAAAAAATAGTGCATGCAACATTTTTCTCTGATCGCAGTGCATTGCATTTCTGTACTCCACTACATTCCTGTATCTTCACTGTGTATGGGGAGGGGCATGTCTGAGGTGCCATTGATATGAATGGCACCGGTACGCCCCCTCCCGCCCCAGAATGCTGCCCGGCTTGATCTATGCGACCCAGTGCGTTCTGGGCTTGAACTGCACCGGAACACACTGGATATGGTGTGACTGGGCCCTAAGGGCCCGTTCGCACCAGAATCTGGGGTGAATTGCAAGTCAACAGAGGTCTATTGACTTGCAATTGCAACCTCCGTTTTACATCCATTGCGCTGCGATGCATTTTTTTGTTTGTTTTGTTTTTCACATCTTTATTGTCAGGCACACATTCTGTCAGGTCAAACTCCACACTAGGTGTGTTTTCCTAAAATGCTTTGCATTGACATTCATTTATATGCGTTGCGTTGAGTCGCACTGAACAAAGTAGTGCATGTTCTACTTTTTTTACAGCGCATAGCAACGCACCTCAGCAGTGCGAACTGGCCTCATTCACACCCATTCATTTTGCGGTGCCCTTGCGTTGGCATCCGTTGAAAAACAAATGGCAACACAACACAATGGATCTGGTGTGAATGGGGACTAAAGAGCAGCTCCAGGATTTAAAAGAAAATGAACCCTTGCAATGGGGCTACACCCACACTGCAAGGTTTAACTGCTCTTTATAGTCTAGGGCAGTGATGGCGAACCTTTTTGAACCCGAGTGCCCAAATTGCGACGCAAAATCAAAGTGCCAGCGCTAAAAATAAGTTTAGTACTGTATTGCAGTTCGGCCGCTCGGGTTTAAGAAGCGTTCAACATCACTGCCTTAGGCCCCATTCACACCAAGCGACATACCTTACAAGCGGATCCGCGCGACTGTTCGGGGGCGACGTTCCAGCGACGATCGCGTGACCTTCACCGGTGGGCTGCATTCAAAAATAGAAAAATTGCTCAACTTCCGCGGGGAAAAAGGGGCCTGCTACAAGCGGCTCCCAGGGGGGAGGGGAAGGTTGTTTTGCACTCAGTAGGGGAGGGGGAAAGGCTGTGCGGCTCTCAAGTGGGATCCGAACGTCCTCTGTAGTCGGGCCGGTCACAATCAGGACCGATTAGACGGTCGCTCGCAGGGGGCCTCCCAGGGTCCTAGCGAGGAGGAAGCGGCCGTCTAATCTGCCTAGTTAGAGGCCGCTGCCTGATTGTAGCTGCCCTGGATCGCGTACTGAGGCGATCCGGGCCGATCGGATCTATTTCAATTAGTGGTCCTTGAACCTGGGCTCGCGTGCCAGCAGAGAGGGCCTCGCGTGCCCTCCCTGGCACGCGTGCCATAGGTTCGCCACCGCTGGTCTAGGGAGTGGGACTCAAATAAAAGAAATATAGTCATCCGCCATCCTGCCTGGCTGCTACACCGGTCCCCACAGCCTCTTCTTCCCTGGCTCCCACTGACATCATCATGTCTAATGCAGTTTATTCTCCTGCTTTAGACATGAGGACACCGAGAGACATTCCACAGCTAGAGCAGAGGGCGATAGAGGTGAGCAGTCACTGCCGCGGGACCTGCTGAGCATATTTTCTGTATTCCAGGCCCCAGACCAAAACGAGCAGTTAACCCATGCAGTGCTGGGGTAGCCCTACTATGAAAATAAAATAAAACAAAAACACAAAAAGGAACACGGGGTCATTCCACAAGATACAATTAGGAGCTAAATGCATTTCTGGCAGATCAACAGGTATTGCAAGACTTGCAGGGTGTTTAACACCTTGCCGCCAGCCCTTTAAAAGTTACTTAATGACAGAAGGCGGCGATGGGCTCCTGATCATGTGATCATGGTGGCAGCCAATTGCAGCGATCATGTAATCTGGAGCCCGTCTTCAGCTCCCAATCATAAACAGTAACTGGGAGCTGCCGGTGCTGGGAGCACACAGAGACGTTCATTCTCAGTAGGGATGCCCTTATACCAGTTTTTCGGTATTGAGTACAAGTACCGATATTTTTTTTCCCATACTCGCAGATACCAAAAACCGATACCGGAAGTCCCATTAAGGAACCCGGGCAGCGTGTAATGACTCTCCACCCGGCTTCCCGATTAGCAGGGAAGCCGTCTCCATGCTTCTTGTCACTAGGTCACGAGAAGGCATGGAGGCGGCTTTCTGGCCAATCAGGAAGCCGGGCGCCGTGTAGTCAACAGAGCAGTGAGTGAGTGAAGGAACAGTGAGCATATAATACTGGAGTAGTTGCCATTAAAGTGAACACTATGGTTTGCCCTTCAAGGTTTGCTTTAATGTATGTCTATGGGGAAAGTGACCCTGTCATCACAGGGTTAATTACAAGAATATGGCCAGCTTAGAAAAGAAGAGACGCCTCACTTATCTTTCAGGTGGCCCATGTCTTGATACTAGTATCGCTATCGGTGCATCACTAATTCTCAGGTTTTGCACATTTTTCTTTTCTTTGCACAAAGCACAAAAAGTTTTTGTTTTTTTTTAGCAATGTGACCTCAATCTGGAATTTAAAAAATCCTTTACTTGTTAGTGAAATTACTTTAAATAAGTTATAAATCATACTCTGAAATGCAGAAAAACTGTTTTATTGTAAAGCCAAGCCAACCCTGAGGTACTTTCCAGAGACAAACATTTCCATGGAAAAAAACATTCCAAATGTGGGACTGTCACTAGCAGTGAGGGATAATCTACTAGTATGTCAGAGCATGCTGAAACTTGCAGTCCCACAAGGAGTTGTCATGGTAATGATCTTTCCCTGATCTGGTTGCTATGGGTTATCATATTTTCTACATCACCATTGCATTCCATGATCATTTGTGTAAAAAGCCTTACAGCATTTATTTTAAGTCTGCTATAAGATTAAAGTGTATTCCTTAGAGTCATCAGAACTGTTTACTATCTGCGGCCGCATTAGAAAGATTTCCCATCACTTCCTGTTACAAAGACAAAACTGGAGAAGGTAGGAAACCTCTCCAAAGTAAGGAAAACGTTATTTAAGCCAGTTCTGTCAGGCGGCTCCATTGGAATATTTTGAATATAGATATACTTTATGGGCCAGATACATGGCACAATGCAGGGCTGTGCCACACCCAGACAGGAATGTAACAGAGATAACGCTACAGTTGCTTCTGCAGGGAGGCACAGCTCCTTCATTTCTAGTTAGAGCAAAACTGTACTATCCTTGAGTACAACAGGGCAAAGCAGTGGGTTTCCTTTATTACCCCCCTCCTGAGCAGCACATACCTATTTCCACACCATTACTTCTCCATTTAGCCACTGGGAGTAAAGAAAATACCCAGTATGTCTGAGTATGGAGGAGTATGTGACACACTCCGATTCCTCTCATGTGACAGTGCTGGTGCTTGATGATTGTAATAAACTCTGACACATTGTGATGATCATGATGATGTCTTAAGCCCCAAGGTCTTCTTCTCCTGCTTCCTGTGAGTGAACAGAGCAGTGAGGAAGTGGAGGAACAGTGAGGATATGCTACTGAGGAGGGAGCCATTAAAATTAACACTATGCTTTGCCCTGCAAAGTTTGCTTTAAAGTATGTCTATGGGGAAAGTGACCCTGTCATCACAGAGTCCCTTACAAAATAAAAGCCAGTCCGTATATGAAGAGGCACCTCACTTATCTTTCAGGTGGCCTATGTCTTTAAACAGTATAAAAGGAGTCCCCAGCACACGTTCAAGCTAGCCAGCAAAATAAATAAGCTACTACTCCGGTAAAAATTACAAAAATAAGTGGGAGCCACATTGCTGCATCAAGGCACT